CTTGAGTCTCAGTGTGCTTTTCTCTTTCCTTCTAGTTGTAGAATTTCCACTCAGCCAGCCTTCCTGTAGTTCTGGATGATGTCCGTTTTGTCTTTTAGTTGTATTTTTGAAGTGGTTGTGCATGCGAGGCAGCAATTTCCAGTATTTACCTATGCCGCCATCTTGGTTTCTCTCCTGGTTTTTTCTTTTAGTTTCTCAAACACACTTGCTCCTCAGGAGGTGGCTAACACTCAGCATCTCAGTGCAGGCTCCTGGCCCTTGTCAGGGGCTTATGGGAGGCAACCAATCCATGTGTCTCTATCACATTGGTGTTTCTCTCAGTCCGCTAGGTTCTCCTAAATTTTGATACAATACTGATCATAAAGATTGGGAAGGTTATAAAAAGTGTTTTCTGCCCTAACCGGTTTGGCTCACTGGATAGAGCGTCAGGCTGGGGACTGAAGGGTCCCAGGTTCAATTCCGGTCAAGGGCATGTACGTTGGTTCAGGCACATCCCCAGTAGGGGGTGTGCAGGAGGCAGCTGATCGATGCTTCTCTCTCATCGATGTTTCTAACTCTCTATCCCTCTCCCTTCCTGTCTGTAAAAAATCAATAAAATATATTTTAAAAAAAAGTGTTTTCTTATCTGATAACACAATTCAGAACTTTCAGGTTATAAACTGTCACTTTCAAGTTTCAGTTTAAAAATAATTAAATGGGTCTATCTCTATATAATCAAATAAAATGACTAAGGAGCCATAGCCAGGTGACTCAGTTGGTTGGATTGTTGTCCCACACACCAAGAAGTTGTGGTTTTGATTCCTGGTCAAGGAACATACCTTGGTTGTGTTCACATAAGAAACATTCAAACTTGTAAATAATTTTTGTGAGTTTATTTGAGCCAAACTGTTGACAGTTGTCAAGAAGCAGAATCTCAAGGCATTGAGACAACGCTCCAAAGAATGGACGATTTTCACCTATTTTTATAAATTACTATTAAAGGAGGAGACAAAAGTGAGTTACATGAAATCTATTGGTGATAGATTAGGGAGGTGGGAGAGAGTAAAGCGGGGAAAACCTGGGATTATTGGATAAAAAGTAAAATGATAGACACATGCTTCTTTTGCATAGATGGGTATAGGATAGTTTACAGTTAACAATTAACATGATAACAATAACAATGAAGGAATTTGTTGTCTTTACCCTGGTGCCTGGCACATTGTTTGTGCCCTTCGGGGTCTGGAAAAAGGCAAGTTACAAGTTACCCTGACATTCCAAAGGTATGTAATATAAATGCAAAAAGACAATAAGTTCAGTTAAGATAAAAATTGATCTTTTTCAGCCTAGTACAGGACTACCAACTCACTATAAGTTGCTTTGTAATTTAAAAAGTCTTAATTTCAGACCATCATTTGTGGTTACATTTAGGTCTTAGTCTTCAAGGCCGCCATGTTGGCCTTTCCTAAGCTTGTCAGGTTATCATGTGGCCCTTTCTGTCTACAGTTGTAGGTTTCCTCCCAATCATGCGCACGGGAGGCAACTAATTGGTGTTTCTTTCTGATATTTCTTTCTCTTCTTCCTTCTCTTTAAAAATCAATAAACATATCCTCAGGTAAGGAGTAAAAGAAAAAAGACTAAGGAAATTTGTTGTCATTTAATGTACTGAGTAAAACTTTTACCAGGTATGAATTTTTGTAACTTAGATGATAAAAATAAAGCTTCACTCTAAACCAAAATGAAGTTTAGTGTTTGGTAGACTATAAAGTTAATGTAAATATTTTTTCAGATATAGATTATAAGATTTTTCATTTTGATGTTTGTTTTTTGGATGCTTTAAGCTCTTTGCAACTGATGCTAAGTGAACAATACTAATTTTGTCAAATGAGGTATCCAGAGAGCTAATTTGTGTTAATCGCTGCAAGCACCTTTGAGAGAAAGCCACCCTCGAGTTCTGCCGGATGCCAGACAGTCCAGTTTCTCCCCGTGTGAGTCTGGGTCCCCAGAGACTCACCTGGAACTGGAGTTCAGAACAGTTGGGAGCTTGAGACTCCCTCCCGATTGAAAAAGACAACCGCGACCTCAGCTGCCAGCCCTCTCCAGGTGCGCCTCATCTGCCAGCCCTCTCTGCCAAAAAGTCTTAATTTCAGACCATCATTTGTGGTTACATTTAGGTCTTAGTCTTCAAGGCCGCCATGTTGGCCTTTCCTAAGCTTGTCGGCTGGGCCGACCCAACGTACACGAATTTGTGCAGTGGGCCTCTAGTTTATCATATTGTGCTTGTGGAACCCTAAGTGATACAAGACAAAGACAAGGATTAGGGCATCAGTGTAGGAGGAAGCATGAAGTACTTCAAAAGTTTCTCATAAAGATTTGTTTAACAAATTAAAGTTTGAATAGCTTTCTCTTCTGTTCCTCCCTGGTTTCATTTTCTAGTAATACTTACTTATGCTTTTGCTTCTTTTCTTGAGATCTTGGAAATAAGTATTCATTGGTCTCTATAATACATTTTCTGATAAATACTTGGAAAGATACTCCAGAATCTACACTAATAATAGACAAATATGTAAATTGACCATACCTTCATGATCCCCCAAGCCAATCAGGAGGAAATATGCAAATTAGTGGGACAAAGATGGCAGCAGCTACAGAGCCAGCCGGAGTGGACAGGAGGCTTGGGTTGCCCCCAGCGACGGAGGAAGCCAAGCTTCCCGCCCTCCTGGGCCAGCTGCTGAAGGAGGGATCTGTGGGCAGCAGCCACGGAGCAGGCCGGAGCAAGCTGGAGGCCTGGTCGCCCAGGCTGGCCGCCTAGGGAGGGACCTGCAAATGGCCCTCAGCCCCTCACCCAGGCTACCCAGGCACCCCAGCGGGACCCCCACCCTGATCCGGGACACCCTTCAGGGCAAACCAGCCGGCCCCCACCCGTGCACCAGGCCTCTATACTAATAAAAGGGTAATATGCTAATTAGACTGGGAGACCTTCCAGGAGACCTTCCGGATGTTCTTCTGGACAAAGCCATGGTGGTGGTGCCGAGGTAGAAGTGGTTAGGGGCCAAGAGGGGAGGGCAGTTGTGGGTGATCAGGCTGGTGGGGGGGGCGCTTGGGGGCAAGCAGGCAGGCAGGCAGGTGAGTGGTTAGGAGCCAGCAGTCCCGGATTGTGGGAGGGATGTCCGACTTCCAGTTTAGGCCCAATCCCACTGGCCTAAACGGGCAGTCAGACATCCCTCAAGGGGTCCCAGATTGGAGAGGGTCAGGCTGGGCTGAGGGACACACACCCCCTGCACGAATTTCGTGCACCAGGCCTCTAGTATTATAAAAACAAAATAAGCTAAAAAGAAGGATAAAGGTGGCTAAGCTTTCTTTCATTTCTTTAGCAGGTTGACTCCATTTTTAAAAAAAGGATATATTTCATGAGGTTTTAGTTTTTATACTGTGAGCTGGAGCAGTCTCTGTGTTTTTCTATTAACTGATATATCCCTTTAATAACCCTGATAATGGTGAACATGTGGCAAAACCCTTTCCTCAGCATAGTACTTAAATAGCACATGAATTATGAATAAGGAATCTTTACCATTAGCTTAGGCCCCTTAACTTCCTTGGTTTGCTGGGAACTGTTATTTTTACATTCTTTGGGGATTTCTCTTTGACTTCTTACAGTGTCACAACTTGCTCTGATCTTCAATGCTTGCCTTCGCTTCGTAGTCCATTAGTTTTACAGCTTGGCTCTTTCATCTGTTTCTTCATCCAAGATCAGGTTTTTCAGTTGTTTATAGATAAATTACTTTTACTGGTTATTGGGGGTTTTCATAATGCCAGTTGAAGTGAAACATTCAGAAAAGAAGAGGCTCAAGTACTTAGGTGTTTAAGACATTTAAGTTTCATCCAGGGAGTTAATTCTCCAATTTAAGGTGAGAAGGTTTATATAGTTAGAGAGGCTGATAAATTTATGAGCTGAATTTTAAAACCTCATGTAATTTTCCTTTTAAAAAGAAGGCAAACATTAGTAATTTGGGTTCAAAATAGAGTGCACACGATAAGAGAATTAGTCCTGAACTTTTTTTTTTTATGGGAGGGGGGGTATTTTTCCATTCAAACAGGGAAGTGGGTGTGGAAAATAGGAGAAATTGATCCTGTAGCCAGCCAATGGTAGATCTTAACAGTAGTAATATTTTAAAGCATTCAACCCCAATTATAGGATTAGAGTCATTTGAATTCTCAGCAAATTTTCAAAATTTAAAATTTCATTTTTGTTTCCTTCTCTTGTCTCATTATTTCTCTTTTCATCCTGGTGTTATTGGTGGGGTGCTTTCCAAGTCCCCACCTGTTGTAGGTAGAAGCGGTGGGAACAGTGGGAATGAGAATTTCCAGAGGTCCCACAGGAGGATGTGGTATCATGGAAAGCTTGATTTCTGTGGAATTAAACCCCTGAGTTTCCAAGGTCCCACCTCCCTTCATCCGGCCATGGAAAAAGTTCCATTTTATCTTCAGCAGGGCTAAGATCAAAGCCATTGCCCAGAGTCTGCATTCCATATTTGCATAGCCCAGTCCAGCATCTGGCTAGGTCAGCTTGTGTTCCCAGCTGCAGTTCATTACTTATAGGGTCCACATGACTGTGGACCATGTGGCTTCTAGGGCCATATGGCTATGGAGGGAACACTGGTAAGTGCAAGGAAATAGGAGCAAAGCTAGAGGAGCAAGAGAGAGACGATTTCTTTGTCTGCAGATTATGTAATCCCAGATTTTCGAAGGCTTGCATTGGCTCCATCACTCCAGCCAGTGATCTCTGTTCTCAGGTTAGAGTAACAGACAAGCCCCTTTCCTACATCACCCCAAATTTATTGTGCATGTACCCATCTTCCACTTCGTTGAACCTCTTCAGCCCCAGTGATTTGCAGGGAATGGACTGTTGGTTCCCTGAAGACTGTGAAGTGTAGTTTCCTAGTGAAGCTGCCCCTTATACTAGTAATGTCTGGCCTGCCCTTTGCTCTTTTTCCATCATTAATATTAGCTAGCTAATTACAACAGTAACAATTGCACTTAGGAAAATCTCTTGTCTGGTCTACAGTCTTCCTTTTCTTATGTCATTTTCTGGTAAACCTTCCTGTGTTCCACTCTGTTTGGAAGCATCAGAGGTTGATTTCAGCAGCATTTTAGTGGAATCTAGCATCCTCTATTGGTCTAAAGCAGGGCTCCAGACCTAGACTCTGTGCCTTCACTGATTGTTGTAATGGGCACATTCTTTAACCTTTCTGTGCCTGTTGCCTCAAATTTGAACAAAAGTTAATGATATTTTACCCTATTGGGTTATTGAGGAGATTAAAGAAGAGAATGCATAGTAAGATACTCAACACAGTGCTTGTCACCTTGTAAACACTCAGCATGTGTTACCTTTCATCATTAGGATAAGAATTTCTTTAGGGAAGTTATACAAGTTTTTGAATGCAGGGACCTTGGCTTTTGTTAATCTTTACCAGTTGTTAGTGCTGTAATCTACATAACAAAACTACTCAGAAAGGCCCTCCACTAATAGAAGCAACACCCTATCTAGAAACATAATAGTATTTGTTAGGAACCATCAGAATCCCAAGGATTAACTGGACTTTCTGAGTGCAAGAGTGCTAGCTCTCATTTTTGCTTCTATTAAAGGTGTCACATAATGTCCAAAGTACCTCTTATAATTCTGTGAAAAGGACTAAAGAGAACCTGAGATCTTCAAATTTAAGTGGTATATGAGTCAACAAAATGTTTTCTGGTATGCAAATTCAGCATTAAATAACCAGGACATATAACATAGGAATTGTGATAATATCTAAATCTCTAGTCAGTAGAGGAGGAGGTTAGTATAGGTAGTAAGAGGGCTGTTTTAAGCTCACACTATGAAAAGGACTTTAAAGAATCTTGTGTTTGCTGCACTCTCTCCTGTTTGCAGTAGAAAGCAAGGGGGTTGATTCACAAGGCTATGGACCTGAGAGCATGGATTATCCCAAGGGAACAGACTTCAGCATTAAACACAGAGAGAGAACCCAAACACAGGATGTTAACAGATGCAGGAAGCCTACATTTGGCAGAGGGCTTAGGGGGAAGCAAACCTTATTTGCAACACTGATAATAAATATGTTGTTGAAAATGCACATTAAGTGTGAGAATAAGGAAAAGCTGGACATTTTGTAAATTTTAAGAAGGGAATTATAAGTAAACTGAAAAGCAAGTATGAAACAAGGCCCGCTTAGAATAAGAGGTTTAGTTGTTCAGAATATAGTGTGGGGCTGAGGATTTCAAAGCATTTTTATATATAAGGTAA